CTCTAATTGGAATCATCATCTTCAAGGCCTGGTGGGCCAGAATGTGCTCCACTCTCTCCTCCTCCCCCTTCATCTGCTCCCGTGTGCTCCGATCAGATATATCCCTCTCCCAGAGCTGCAGATTCAATGCCGTCCATTGAAATAAATTCTTCTGGGGGAAGGGGTAAAAATGATTTTTTAAACAAAAGTATATAACATTTTAAGGCTGTTGTATTTTGTCAAAATGTTTTTCTGCAAGGCAGTATTATTAATTTCGTCTACTGTGTCAGCAGGCTAAGAGGGCCCGATTTGCTGCAACAGAACGAAACACTGCCCTGTCCTGCCCCTCCCTCATGGGCCCTGCTAGGTTTGAGCCCATCGCTGCAGCCCTCTTGCCAAGCGCCCTCCTGGAGGCTCTCCCTCTACCAAGCATGCTGTCCTTCTCCAGGGGCTGGTCCCTCCTGATAACAGGTCCGAAGCATGTGCGATGAAGCTTGGCGTCCTGGCTTCCAAGGAGCATTCTGGCTGCACCTGTCCCCACACAGATGTGTTTGCTATACTCCCTTCAGAGGAGGCTTGGTGGCACTGTCAGATCTGCACTGGGCTGCAAACGGACCCAGGGGGAGCCAGCCATTCGGAGGGAGAAAGAGGAGCTCTTCTGTGCCCATGAAGATTGACAGCCTGGGCAGACCTCTGTTGGGCCACCGTGAAGGCTCTCTAGGAGTTGGTTGTGACCTGATGGCAGGGGTCTGGGGGTTTGCAGTCCCTTAAGCTTTTATTCATTTGCTGGCGGCTACCTGGCATCTTGACTTGCTTTGGGGATTTTTTTTTTGGTCACTGCTAAGGTCGTCCATGCTTTTGAGTGTGGACCGGCCAGTGGTTAGCTTGGCTGTTCTGTTGGCTGAGAGGTTAGGCTGGGGGAGACCTGATCGGTTTCCTGTGTGGCAGTGCCCAGAGCTCCCTGTGGCCTGTTGCCCAGGGCTTGACCTCTGTTTTCCTCTTGGTCAAAGACCAACTCGGTGAGATGAGAGGGTGCCCAGGCCTGTGCTGACGGCTTCCTGCAGGTGCCTGAGTGGCCTCTACCTGTGACTGGGCTGGGTGGCAGTGGTGGCAGTCTCTGCTGTGAGGCACCCCTCCCACATCGCCTGGGAAACGGCCCTGCGCTGCCAGCAGGGCGAGGAGGCAGCTGAGAGGACGCCTTGGCTGGGGGGACCCAGCGGTCATAAAAGGAAACCATCTGCCGCTCAGGGCTGGTGATTAACCTGCTTCCGGTGTTGACGTGACAACTCTGAGCGAGATTTTGCTCGCGCAGATGGTGTATTTTCAGCTAAAATTAACTTTTTAACTTTTCTGTGTTTGGAGATGTCTGGCTTGGAAGTAAACATGACTGGGGGGTGGGTGGGGGTGCTATCATCCGAGAGGCTGGGGGCACACCGGTTCAGGGT